TATGCAAGACAATCCGGCGGGCGCTTTTAAAGACCCGAAACCCCACACGCCCGGGAGGGACCCCATCAGGGCGCGCGGCGGCTATGGGCTGCCCTAGGTCGACCTGATCGCCCCTAGAGCCTCGAGGTTCGCCGCCCTGCAATGAAGAAGAACAAACGAAGAACGAGGAAGAAGAAGAACTAGGGTTAAGGAGAAAAGATAAAAGATAAAAAGTGGTATATGATTTGATCGATTGTGTGTTGTTCAATCGGCCATCACCCCTCAGGTATATAAGAGGCGGCTGGACTTCCCGTGCAAGGAAAATGCTTGGATTCACGTCCAAAACCCTAGTCAAATTCGGATTGGTTTTGTCCGAACTTTCCAAAACTGTTCGGTTTAAACTGGCTGCACCTTGCGGGTAACTTTTGAGGTGGTAAACAACCTCGGATGGAAACGAGCCCAAAAGCAATCTTGACTGTTTCGACGAGACGAACAACTTTTATGTTGAACGTTTTTTATTAGAGTTAACCTTGAGGGTCAAATCGCTCGTGCAACACAGGCTGTTATTCGCGCTACCCATCAGACAGGGTGTCTGGTGGGGCGCGCCACTTTTGGCTCGTGATAGTGCTGTATTCGGATGGCTTTAAATTTTGCATACGAACTCGGATTGAAACGATTCTTATATCAAAATCGATCGTTTCGACGAGACGAAGACAATCCATATAGATTATTTTTTCATACGAGGCAGTCTTGGGGGTGTAATGTGTTGAATAGTGTTCTGAATACAAAATCTCAGTATTTCGAACACAACTTCGGCCTTCGAGATGAGATCAAATGGCGATGGCCCAAACTTCAAAGATGTTCGTCTCGACAATACGAAACTTTTTCATGTAGAACATTTCTCCATTTGAGGCCATTTTAAATAAGTTTTTGACTGTGCCAAAATCTGGTGTCAACACAAACAAATCTCACCAACGGATGCAGCTTGCACCTCCGTACACCAGTGCCTCATCCACGCCTCCGACCTCCGCTGCTCGAGCCTGCATGAGCCTGTAGCGCGCCTAGCCCCCAAGATGCACCAGCCTAGCTTTTGGGCCTCGAGGTCCCGCCTGGGCCTTTGCTCGGCCAGGCGCCTGTTGCACGCACGCGTTGCTCGCGTCGCGTCCTGGGGACCTACTACTCGGCGCTTCAGGCGCCAGCGAAGCTCCCTGGCGCCCGCGAGCCAACGCTATTGGGCCGGCCCACAATGAGCAGCGCCAGCGAATGATATTACCGTGGAAAGGAAACCCCAAAAAAACCGCTGAGATGAGGATTCGAACTCTGTACAGTTGCATTCTTTACACGTTAGGTTAACCGCTTGACCAGCCTGCACCTACTGGCAATAAAAAGCGTGAAAATAGTTAAGAGCAACCAGTAGCCGCGCTGTAGCGAAGTTCGGGAGTTATTTCAAAAAATGTTCGCGAACTTTCAGAAAATTTAAGAATTTGTTTCCAAAGGAAAAAGTTCATCAAATTGAAAAGTTCATGTATTCAAAAAAAAGTTCACGAATACAAAAGTAGTTCATCGATTTTCAAAAAAGTTCATCTATAAATTGAAAAAGTTCATCGATTTGAAAAAAGGTTCATCGGATTTGAAAAAAGTTCATCCAAATTGAAAAAGGTTCATCGATGTGAAAAAAGTTCATCCTTTTTTTAATAAAAGTTTATCAAATTAAAAAAAAATATTCAATTTGAAAAAAATCATGAATTTTCAAATAAATCCAAAATTTTGAAAAAAGTTCATCGGATTTTAAAATAAGTTCATTGATTTTTAAAATAAGTTCATCAAAATGTTAAAAGTTCATTCATTTCAAAAAAAGGTTAATCAAGTTTGAAAAAAGTTCTTTGAAATTGAAAAAATTTCATCATTTTAAAGAAAAAGTTCACAAATTAGAAAAAAATATCGTCTATTTATGAACATTTCATGCATTTAAGAAAAAAAAGGAAAAAACAGGAAAAGAAAAAGAAAAGGGAAAAACACACAGAGAACATGAAGGGCATTTCCTGTATGTATGAACAAACGGAAAAGAGGTTTGCATTCACGAGTGAGGTCTGTGGCGTAGTGGTTGCTAGAGTTAGCGGTCAAGTGAGGGATCTGTGGTTCGATTCCTGGCTTCGCAACTCTCCATTTTTGGGTTTCAAAACAGGGGAGGCGAGTGGGGGAATGGTAGATGGGCCGAGCCAAACCGGCGCCTGCAGCGCCAAATAGGAAATCCCCGCGTCCTGCTTCGTGCCCTGGCTGCCGGTGGATCCTATATGACGCTCGTGAGCGTCAGGGAGCTGCACCTTCGCTGAAGCGAGTCCCCACTTGGGCCGGCCCACGTACGATTTCCTGTGCTGTTTTCCTTCGCTGCTTCTGCAGGGTTTTTTTTTTCATTTTCTTCTGCGGTTTTTTCTTCCAGTTTTTCACTGTTTTATCCGGCTTTCTGTTGTTTTGTTTCGGGTTTTTTATTTTTCTGTTTTGGTTCCTTTTCTGTTTCATTTTATTTTACATTATTTTTTATTTTCTGTTCTGTTTCTTTTTCTGTTTTCTTCTTTTTATGTGCGTATTATATAAAATGTTCACCGTGTATTACAAGAAATTTAATTGTATTAATAAAAATGTTCATTGTATATTATGAAATTTGTTCACCTTTGCGTATAAACATGTTCATCGTGTATTATGAAAATGTTCATCGTGTATTATGAAATTGTTCAATGGTTTTTACTAAATGTTGAATGCGTATTCAAAAATTGTTCAACACATATATTCATATTGTTTTAAAAATGTTCATCAAGTATTATTTAAAATGTTCAATGGATATAAAAATGTTCAGTAAATATATTTTGCAATTTTTCTATTTTGGTTTTGGTTTTTCAACGAGTATACAAATGTTCACTATGTTTCTTAATTTTGTTCACTGTATATTACACAATGTTCAATGTGTATTCGTAAATTATTCGACGTATTTTCACAAATGTTCAGTACGTGTCCGAAAATTGTTCAGCGTGTATATTCATATTTTCTTTTAAATATGTTCATCCTATATTATTTCAAATACTCAACTTATTTTAATAAAATGTTCAACTGCTATCGCAAAATGTTCAACGGATATTACAATATTTTATGTGTACTTTAAAAAAAAGATTCAACAGTGTATGGTACTTAAACTTTCGCGCCTCAAATTATTATGAGAGTTCACTGGTTCCATCGGGTTTTCTTTTTGCGGGGTCACTGGTTCCATCGGTTAGCAACGCTAGCTCTAGATAAGGAGGTCCTGAGTTCGAACTCTCTTGCGGGCACTTGAATTTTTGTTTCCTTTTTTTACTTGTGAGCTCGTTTCCTCCTAATAGGCCGGCCCATGCGCTCTTCCTTCAGCGAAGGCTCGACCATTTGCCGCCCGCGCGCGGCAAATAGGAGCTCTCCTGGCTGCCGCCGCCTGGATCAGCGGGATCTGACACTGCTCTTGATTGCTTCCATCTTGCTGACACGCTTCCAAGTTTCCATCGATCCCTCATGTCAACTTCGATTTTTCCAAGCTTTGTTGGCCCCGATCGCTTGACATACACAGATCAAACCAATCTCTTCCGCGATTTCTTTCGGCTTCTGCTCATCAACAATCCATGGCCTCTGGACAACCTAGCTCATGATACCACTTGTTAGAATAAATTCGAGGCATACCGTCGATCATCCGAGGACCAAGCAATCACACGAGCACGACACTGAGATTTGTTAACGAGGTTCACCGATATGGCTACATCCCCGGGGCCTGACTACGGGCGCTCCTCCCCGTGACACCGTCACAATACCGCACACCGGCCACCCAGGCGCCGGCACACGCCGCCGGCTCCCCCTTGCGCGCCTGTGCTATTATGTTGGCATATGTTACATCGTGTGTCTACCCCCGCTATATAAGAGAGGCCTAGAATACAAGTGTCTTACTAGGACACGACTTCATATCCTATTTAAACACAATACTACTCAGATTCCAACTGCAACCTACCTTGTACACTATATTCGACACAACTCCAACACGCCCCCGTGTTACTCTCATTCTACGAGTGCCTTTCCTCCTCGGTGGCACCCTCTTAAGGGCAATGTGACGCCGCCGCACTCCTGCAACGGTGTGCGCCCGCATCCCGAGCCCATGGTGTCTTCCCCCGGAAGAATCAAACCGTGAGGGAACAATCAAAGTCATGAACGATGCACTTATGAAAAAATTAGTGCTGAAGGTTACAATAGTATTAGTACATGGTACTCCCTCCTTCTCAAAATAACTGTATCAAGCATAGTATAACTTTGTATAAAGTTGAGACGCTTATTTTGAGACGGAAGGAGTATTAGTCATTGCCATTTGAGCCTGCAGTAAGATTATATGCGCAGAAATTCTTAAGAAGCACCATTCACTTGTCCAATGACAACATAGTATACTACTCCCTCCGTTCCATAATGTAGCGCATATAGATTTTCTACAAAGTCAAACTTTATAAACTTTGACCAAGTTTATAGAGAAAACTATTTATATCTACAATACCAAATGTATATAATATGAAAGTATGTGTTGTGATGTATCTAAGCACACGTATTTGGTATTCTAGATGTATATGATTTTCTCTACAAACTTGGTCAAAGTTTATAAAGTTTGACTTCTAGAAAAATCTATATGCGCTACATTGTGGAACGGAGGGAGTACTCCCTCCGTCCGAAAATATTTGTCATCAAAATGGATAAAAAGGGATGAATCTACAACTAAAATACATCTAGATACACCCCCTTTTGTTCATTTTGATGATAAGTATTTCCGGACGGAAGGAGTACCATCTTTTTTCTTTTGCGGGGATTTTATGTGCAGACGTGCCAAGTCACGCGAGCCAAGTGTAGGTTAGGCGTGACACGCTGGCGTGCTCCCGCAACCTGCTCCATCTCCCCGTCCTTGCCCGGCTGCTGGAGCAGCGTGCCGGCGGGGACGAACTGGACGGCGGGCTTGTTGCAGTCGGGCCAAGATGCCTCCATGTTCCTTTTCTGCATTTCGCCCAACACCCGCTCTGCTGATAGCCCCGCGCAGCAGCCTCCTCCTCCCCGGCTCACCGCCTCCGGCCACCTCCGCCTGCGCCACCGCCCCCCAATGGAACGCCGCCATCAGAGACCGCCTCGACTCCGGCCTCCCGGCGGCGGCCGTCTCCGCCTTCGCCGCCATGCTCCGCGCCGGCGCCCGCCCGGACGGCTTCACGCTCCCGCTGCTCAACCGCGCGGGGGCCTCGCTCGCCGCCGCTGGCCTCGTCGGGGCCGCCCACTCGGTCGGCGTCCGGACCGGATTCGCCCTCAACCTGTACTTCTGCAACACCCTCGTCGACGCCTACGTGAGGCACGGCGCGGTCGCCTCCGCGCGGCAGCTGTTCGACGAAATGACTGCAAGGGACGCGGTTTCTTGGACGTCGCTGATCTCTGCCTATGCTGGCACAGGCGACGGACGGGGGGTTTCCGGATTGGTGACCAAGATGCGGATGGACGGGTGCGAGCCGAGCATGGTGACGCTCGCCGTCCTGCTTCGTCTGTGTACTGCCGAGAGGGACGTTCCTGGGGGGAGACAGCTACACTGTCATGCGGTGAAGAGCGGTTTAAGTGAAGAGCCGCTGGTTCTCAACTCAATATTGACGCACCTGAGCAGGACGGCGACTGGCTTGGGCGACGCGGTGAGGCTGTTCGAGCTGTCCCCAGGAGGAAGAGATGCGGTTTCCTGGAACATTATAATCTCGGAGTATTCGTCGCAGGGGAACGTTGCTCAAGTCATTGACATGTTTGAGAGGATGAGAAGAGAGGAAGTGTGTCCAACCTGCCGGACCTTAACTGCCCTGGTTGCTGCATTTGCCAAGCACAGGTGTCTTGAGCAAGGAAAAAGGCTCCATTGTTTCGTAATTAGGAGCGGGCTTAGTGATCCAGTCTTGGTGGCATCCTTTCTGGATTTCTATGCTAAATGCTGTGAAATGGAATCTTCCACCAAGTTGTTTGAAGAATTCCGGGGAAGAGCCAGCTGCATATGGTCAGCCATGATGTGGGGTCTCATCCACCATGGGCACTTCTTACAAGTAATCCATCTGTTTGAGCGGATGCTGAACTCTCAGCTAGCTATCAACGCTGACATGCTTCAAGGGCTGGTCATCAGTTACATGGAATTAGGTGCTTCGCGGCTAGGTAAATCAGCTCATGGATACATCATACGAAACAGCCATGCTGGTGCGCAATATGAGAATACTTGTTACTTGGAGACATCCATTCTCAAATTCTATGCTAGATGCGGGAACATCTGTTTGGCACGCCGGTGCTTCAACAAGATCCAGCAGAGAGACATTGTCGCATGGGGTTCAATAATTGAAGCGTACGCGATTCATGGCAATGGCAGGGAAGCTCTGGCATTGTTTGACCAAATGCTTGCGGAAGGAGTAATGCCAAACGGAGTGACCTTCCTGAGCTTGCTGTCGGTGTGTAGTTACTCAGGGCTTGTTAGTGAAGCCCGTGCATTGTTTGATTGCATGATTACGAAGTTTGGCATCGCACCGGAGCTAGGCCACTACACTTGCATGGTGGACATTCTTGGCCGTTCGGGTGACCTAGATGAAGCTGCCCAAGTGATCAGTGGCATGAATGTTAAGCCAGACGGAAGAATTTGGGGTGCTCTCCTTGCATCATGCAGAACACATTCGAATGTCGAGCTGGCATCTTTTGCAGCTCAGAAACTTATGGAGTTGGAACCAGATAATGTTGGCTACCATGTGGTGTATAGTAATGTGCAAGCAGGCAGTGGTGATAGATGGCGCGAGGTGGAGCATATTAGACGCTCGATGGCAGAGATGGATGTGCCGAAGGTGCCTGCTTGGAGCTGTGTTGCTGACACTGGTAGCCCATGATCTGTATTCTGCAGCGCACTCTCTCCGTTTCTCCCATATACATTCCGCAGTTCGGCAGACTGACCAGATAGTCTATCAAAGTAGTGGGATGTGACTGCCAGATTGACCAAGATTTATCAGCGTGGCAATGTATCAAGGCCTTAATCTGTTAGGGAGTTGGCATTAATACCCATCCAAGCATATGAGATAAGATCAAGTTTCGAGCAGCCTATATACGGTATAAAGGTCGCAAATTAGCGAAGCCAGCGTCAGGTGTTGTGATGCTGGCTGGCTGTTTGCTGGGAGTAAGTGTATGCAATTAGGTTCAATCGAGCGATATTAACACGCACAAAATTACAAGTCTGAATTTGGAGCAAAAAGGACAAAATGCTAGCTGATGTAAATAAGCTGCTATTCACAGTTCAAATATTGTTCAAAGCAGAATTTGTATTGTTCCTGCTCTAACTGTTTGATCACCTTAAGCTGCTGTTACCGCCTCAATATTATTTAAAAATTATTTCTGTGAAAACTGCCTCAATTGTTGGCTTGTCTGTCGGCCAAGAGTGACACACACTGTGCCCTCGTGCTCTTTTGTGGCTTGTGTCATGCTCTAGTTTATTCACAGGAGTTGAGATAGTGGTTAAGTTTGCTAGCTCAAATTGTACGGTCTCAAAGGAGGTACGTTTATACGTGTCATTCGGTAGCGGAAAATAGACATCATTGTGGCTGTAGTTTAGTGGTGAGAATTCCACGTTGTGGCCGTGGAGACCTGGGCTCGAATCCCAGCAGCCACACAATTCTTTTTTTGCTTATTTTTATCCCCACATTCTTTCTTTTTGACTGCATGTAATTGCTCCTGCAGGATGATTAGATTATTTTTTTCATGCAAAAAATTACATCAGCTGTTATTACCAGAAACGGATTTTAACCTGTTTTCAGCAAGTTTATAACAAGAACATTTTTTCAAAAAAATAATATAACAAGAGTGAAATGAAGGACATTTTTCCCATCAAGTACTCTGCCACTGTGGCAAGCTTATTAGAGATTTGGATCATTTAAGACCATCGAAAAATCTGCGGGCTAAAGAGGTATATTGCCAATATGGCCAGACCATGCTAAGGCCGAGGGCGGTGGCTTTCTTCTTATTCCACTGTTTTGTCAAATTGAATTTGAAACTGAATGTGTGAACTCAGTGTTTTGGCAGGTGGGAAAATAGTTTTTGTGCAATGGGATCTTTATATGATACAGACCTCATATCGATACTGAGAGATGGGAAACGAGTTTTTGTGCAATGGGAAATTTCCTAGAATTTATTTCTGGATCTGCGACGACCATGCTCTGATCATCTCCATCAGCCATGACAACAGAGTTAAGCTAGACACATTGGTTACTAGATTAGGAAGAGTTCTGATCATCTAGCTGCAATAAATTATGTTCTTTACATAAATTTGACATTCATTTTAAATGCTCTACAGGACCCAACAGAAGATGCCCTGCATCTTTAGTGGGAGAACTCCAAAATGGTTGCAGTTGAGGCGAGGCTGGGGACACAGGAGGTATGGATGGTGATGCAGAGGCTTCCCACTATGTCCATCGTGTTTTATTTTTTTTCCTTGCCACAACTCTATGTATGTGTTGAGCAGATAATTCAACTTGCTCAATTTTAACCACGTCTATTCTTCCATGTTTTGTGAGCATAGCCTTTTTTATCGGGTGACAAAAACATTCTTAGCATTAAATTAAGTTTGTTTCTGAATGTTTAAGTGTATAGGTGAGCTTGAATGCCTGATGATCTGTCATAAAATATTTGTGAGAACATGGCTGGAATCTTGGTAGAAAGAATACCATGCTGAAATCTGAAGAATGCACATATATAATTTGCCCTAAAATAACAGCAAATATTGAGAATTTGAGATGTTTTTATGATGGTTCAGGAAATTTGGTTATACTTTTGTCTTGTTGGCTATGAGATTAACAAAGGGGACCTTATGTTGGCTGATCAAAGTTACCCTTAACTTCCTTTTTCCCTTTGTAGGCTGAATCTCAAGGCGTCAATCGAAACAGAATAAGAGAATAAGCCGGGAATGATGCCGTGGTATGAAATTTAAAAGAAGCTGAATATGAAGTTGAAGAGGTGGAGCCAAGCATGGTGGCATGCAGTCATGCTCTGGTTTATTTACAGGTACTGAGATAGTGGTTAAGTTTGCTTTTGTTTCTCTAGGTTTTACCATTTTTGGTCTAAATGCCAACGTCACATCACGGGATTCTCTTCCTGTGTGACAGCAAGAGAAGAAAGTGTGTAAAGAAGGTCTTGAAGGAGATACTTCGATCCTTGTAAGTTGGAAGTTCTAATTTGACACGATTGTGGCTGTAGTTTAGTGGTGAGAATTCCACGTTGTGGCCGTGGAGACCTGGGCTCGAATCCCAGCAGCCACACAATCTTTTTTTTGCTATTTTTTCCCCATTTTTTTCTTTTTCACAGTACATTAATTTCTTGCAATCTAGCTGTACTGATTGCATGTGATTGCTCCTGCCAGATGATTAGATCATTCTTTTTCATGCAAAAATTCACCTCAGTTGTTATTAATCTGAAATGGATTTTAACCTGCTTTGAGCAAGTTTCTATGATGAGAATAAATTATACCAAGAGTATTTCTCAGAAAAAATACCAAGAATGAATTGAGGGACATTTTCCTATAAGTACTCAGGCACCGTGACTAGCTTATTACAGATTTGCTCATATGGCCACAATAGAACATGTCTAGTTAGTTTTTTTTTGCTTGGCCTTCCAATTGTCTAAATAATCTCTTGCCATGTGTATAATACCCGAATGAAAAATTATCTATGAAACACCTTTGAGGACATAGTAAAATACACTTGTCTAATTAGAACCTTTGCACAAAGAAGAAAGTTTGAGCACTGATGGATCCATATAATTTTCATGCAAAATTTGACCTTAGCTGCTTGGTGATGGACTTATTTGATGTTATATTGAGATGTACCTTCGAAATTAAGTCATGCCATATGTTTCAACGGCAGTCAGATTTCGATTTTCGATTTCCTCTTGTGGCCGTCTCTCATATGTAAATTTATTGGTTATATCTACGGTTCATGTTTCTATATAGTTCAATTCTCACATCCAAGTCTGAAACGATTAGCACAAAGCTATTTAAGAAAAGCAGCAAATGTTTTTGCGATGAGTAAATAGAAAAAAAAACTATCACAATTGGCACTAGGGTTTAAAAAATCACGTTTTTCTTTCTTTACTGATACCTACATTTGTCTTAAAATTTTGCAAAAAAAAAAACTTATGACCGCTTGGGTTAAAATTGACCACGTTTATGACATGTGTGGCCCACCCGTCAGGCCAAGGGGTAGACAGAAGGGGGTAACGGTTGCCATCCTACTCGGTCCGGTAGGAACCCATTGTCTCTATGGGTACCGATCCGTCACTCTCTCACACCAGCTCGATCTCTCCACTCTCTCGTGCTCGCTCTAACCTAGTAGGTGATGGCGGCAGCAAAGTCCATCCACAACAATGACTTGGTAGGTGGTGGAGAGACTGGCCGCGAAGGCGACAACTACTCTAAGGTGGACAACTAACTCCAGAGCGGGAGCTTTTCCATGCAGTCGTCCCCAGTATATCGTGCGGTGACATCTTTGGCCAGAGTGCTTGTGGTTGATCCGACCGGCGGCCACACCTGGGCTCCCCACTCGGCATGTAAGTCCAACTCCTCTCTCTTTGCTCTCTGTCTTTTTTTTTATTTTGATTTTAGGGTTATAGGATCAATAGAGATTTAGGGTTTGGGAAGAATTGCGGGGGAAATTAGATGAACATGTTGAAGGAAATATGCCCTAGAGGCAATAATAAAGTTATTATTTATTTCCTTATTTCATGATAAATGTTTATTATTCATGCTAGAATTGTATTAATCGGAAACTTGATACATGTGTGAATACATAGACAAACAGAGTGTCACTAGCATGCCTCTACTTGACTAGCTCGTTGAATCAAAGATGGTTAAGTTTCCTAGCCATAGACATGAGTTGTCATTTGATTAACGGGATCACATCATTAGGAGAATGATGTGATTGACTTGACCCATTCCGTTAGCTTAGCACTTGATCATTTAGTATGTTGCTATTGCTTTCTTCATGACTTATACATGTTCCTATGACTATGAGATTATGCAACTCCCGTTTATCGGAGGAACACTTTGTGTGCTACCAAACGTCACAACGTAACTGGGTGATTATAAAGGTGCTCTACAGGTGTCTCCGAAGGTACTTGTTGAGTTGGCGTATTTCAAGATTATGATTTGTCACTCCGATTGTAGGAGAGGTATCTCTGGGCCCTCTCGGTAATGCACATCACTATAAGCCTTGCAAGCAATGTGACTAATGAGTTAGTTGCGGGATGATGCATTACATAACGAGTAAAGAGACTCGCCGGTAACGAGATTGAACTAGGTATTGAGATACCGACGATCGAATCTCGGGCAAGTAACATACTGATGACAAAGGGAACAACGTATGTTGTTATGCGGTTTGACCGATAAAAATCTTCGTAGAATATGTGGGAACCAGTATGAGCATCCAGGTTCCGCTATTGGTTATTGACCAGAGACGTGTCTCGGTCATGTCTATATAGTTCTCGAACCCGTAGGGTCCGCACGCTTAAAGTTTGGTGACGATTTATATTATGAGTTTATGTGTTTTGATGTACCGAAGGTACTTCGGAGTCCTGGATGAGATCGGGGATATGACGAGGAGTCTCGAAATGGTCGAGATGTAAAGATTGATATATTGGACGACTATATTCAAACATCGGAAAGGTTCCGAGTGATTCGGGTATTTTTCGGAGTACCGGTGGAGTTACGGGAATACGGGAGTACATATGGGCCTTAGTAGGCTTTAAGGGAAAAAGAGGAGAAGCCACTAGGGCTGGCCGCGCGCCCCCCATGGGCCTAGTCCGAATTGGACTAGGGGAGGGGTTGCATCCCCTCTTTCCTTCTCCTCCC